AAGACGACAGGAAGGTGTATATAAGTAGCCTGTCCGTCTTCATCACCATCGTATTCGCGTGCCATGTACATGTATAGGGGTCAGGAACCCTCAGGCATTAGCCTGGAAATCTGTGACTAGTTCATGAAACAAGTCAGATTGACATGTGGTTAGTTGTCCTTGCTTGGGAGGAGGACCGTCGAAAGCAAGAAGCTATGAGGAAAAAACCCCAATGGGGTATTTCTCAAGTGAGTGTACACAGGTGTGCAGGCTGCCTGCCCACCTGGTCGTCGATGTAAACTACAACTGTGTCAAAGTCACATCGAACCAGGATCATCTGGCACAACACCGAATATAGAAGTAACATCGCAGTTTCTCCGAGACTGCCAGCATCTCAAGTATGTTAATGGAACTTGAATGATGCTCAAACAGGGCTTCACCAATCCGCCACTAGATGCGTGTGGCTGGCAGTTAACTGGCAGGGTAACATGTTCGCCATGACAGTTAATGAATTAGGCTGCAATCTGTGAGAGGCCCACCCTTGTGAGGTTGGCAACGCCGAACCACAGGAGGTACTGCACAAGTCAGGTCATGGCCTGCACTGAATGCAGTGAGGACTGGGCCGATACAAGCAAATAGGTGAATGCCACCAATCTTTGTTTCCACGGCGCAGTCATATCGCCTTTACTATCTGAGCATAGGCCAGGAGTGAGGCGGAAAAACTGGCTGGATGGAGCCACCATGAAGTTGCAGCGAGAATTTTTGTTTGAAAACCGCGAAATTCTCAGTGCTCTGGCCTGAAAATGAGTTGCAGTTGTGTACCCTTCAGGCCAGGGCTCATTCCCCATGCTGATGTGTTAGACAGTCGACTAAATCTCATCAACATCTTTCAAAGGGAAATACAAGACGGGCGCAACACTGTGCTGGCCCGATGTTATTGATGTCAGCCTCAAAGTCTCTTTGACGAGCTCCTACGAGACAGATGGGTGGAGGTCGTCATGAGTCAGGTAGGTCACTTATGGAAATCATCAAAACAACTGAAGCCGAATCGAAATCGTTGTTACATTATCCTACGTGGCATGGCGTACAGCAAATGTTGCTAGCACGGCCACACAAAATCATCTGGGCCAACTTCAAGAGGTATGCAGTTGAGAAAACAAACAACTGTTTGTTCTTCACCTGCGCTGGCCCACATGTAGTCGACATCGACCAATATGGATGTAAACATCGATATGCACCGCAAAAGAAAGATCTTTGTCCGTTAAAAATTTAAAAGGTGGGACTCGAATCTTTGGCGGGCGCACTTTGACGGGAGAAACAGTTCATCAATCATGTTATCCCGGCGGGCCAAGATTGTTAGGGTCTGCACTCGTGTAAAATTATAGAGTACTGAGTGCAGACTGTGAAATTGATAAAGAAAATAGCGGTCAACACGTCCGCTAAGACTGTCAAGTCAAGATTAAAACATTAAACCTAATGTACTTCATGAGGGTAAAGAGGGAGGCTGAACGCGTATCGCCGAACCCACTTTATTATTCCACTGCAAAGTGTATTCAAGCTTCTGCGAGTATTATTTACGAAGAGCCGCTTGAATAATGGGGTCCCTCTACTGCTGGCAGCTTGTACTTAGCTGCATTGAAGAGGGAAGATGTGACAACAACAACAAAAATACCGAATTTCGCTAACGGAAAACGGTAATGATCACATTATTGCTTGAAGAGCAGCAAGCAGTTTGAATACAGGCACAATCTTTCGAATGTGGTCCACAACATGCCTGCAAGAGTTGAATAGACCCCGTAAACGAGAACCGTAAAACACATCTGAAGGGACGAGTTGCACACGGCCACAGTCAGCTGTTGAACAACTCCCTCGGAGACAATGGACAGTGTACATACACAAGTAATGCACACATGTACGATGTACATAAAAAATGTAGCGATCTCAGTACAGCAAGAAACACCGCCGCACGGCTAAGCACCGTGCGGCGTGTCCCATTGTCCTTGAGTCACCCAACCGTGATTAATGTAGAGGGCTACAGAGTTCACGGCTCGCAACTGAACGAAGACGGACGTTTCATTAACGTGCCCGCCTGGCAATACATGTACGTGTATAAAACGTATACATGTACATGTATGACCGATAATAAAGCCGAGAACAATTGCAAGGCTTGTAATGAGTGGGCCGAAAAACCGAGTCCTCATCCCGGTATCGTATGCCGCGGTGGGATCGGTGCAATAAACTCGGCCGGATTAGAAAAATAATAAAGCCGTTCCCGCCTGAGAAATGGACACCACTTTGTCCGTTGTCGATGTGTTTCACATTTGATCCAACGGAGGTATGGGGAACACCTTGTCATTGTTAGATTTGGAGCCCGTCCTGCGCTTGATTTGAAAATTGTTGTGATCGGGCGGAGGGGGCTCATCGGCGGAGGGTAATTTAAGTACCCGTGTAATGTCCCTCTGCAGCAAACGGAGTATCGTTTCCTCGATGGACAGCCATTGTAACCGGTCTGATTCTCCGTCATTATCGGATGAATCAGCCGAATGCGAAGGCCAAAATGACCCCGATGACTGAGAGCCGTCTGGAGGGGCTAGTTGTACAGAACCACGCGGTGGTGGCTGGGCAACACCCTCGGAGATAATATACATAATATTATGCAGATGGTGAAGACTAAACACAAGCGGGAATCCTGGCGCACGGCTAACTGTGTGCGGTAGGTCCCGTTGTCTCTGGACCACGCGACCGTGTTCCACGGCCGGCGAATGTGAAGTCCCGTTCGCCGTAGGCCGGGCTTCCGGTATAGCGCGCAACCATGTGTGGTATACATGAACATGTATGAACATGTGGTTTTTTGTTTTTTTTTTCATTTTTGTACATGTACCTCGTTGTGCTTGGGCCACGCAATCGTGACCAATGAATGACGACTATGAAGCATTCACTGCAGATAAAGACTCCAGGAGCACGGCTATCTGTGCAGTAAGTCCCTTTGTTCACGGGTCACCCAAGCGTGACCGGTGACTGAAGACTATGATGCGGGCCCAACGACCGATGGTTGTGGGCCGTTGTCCACTGCTGCAGGGGGGCCCCCAATAGGGCCCGCCCGGCGGCCTGCCGACATAGCCGATAGCGTATCGGAAATCGACTGAAAAGCCAGCAGGAAATCTGCTCTAGAAACCGCGTCCTCCCCCCGGGAGCGTTTGCCCCGGCGGGACCGGTCAGAGGAGTCGTCAGACCCCGAAGAAGAACGGTGCAATCGACGTGCAGCCTTTTTCTTCTTATTCTTCTTTTTAGAAGAACGGCCCCGAGGTGTGTCCGAGGAAAATCGGAAGACACCTGGGGCACCGGGACCCCCGAACAACGGAAAAAATCCGATGACGAGAGTAGTCCCTCTGAGTGAGCTAGCACGGGGGCCGTCGGCCCGGGACCCCCCGGGGCGACCGGCTCCGTATCGCTCATAATGCACCCGGCCGACAGCGCCTCAGGCCCCGTGGGCTGAGCGAGCGCTGGACGGACCGGTAGCCCGTGCAATAGCCCATCCCGACAACCAGTGGTGTTCGGCACTGTGTCGGGAGGGCACGGGTGACTAGAGCCCACCGAAGTGTGACGGCTAGTCCCCTCGGGCTGCCCCGTGATCGGGGGAGGGCTAGGTGCCAAAGCGGCGCTTGTTGCCGAGCTACGCTTGCCCTGACGGCCCTTCTTAGGCTTTGCTCCGGCACAGGAGATATGTTTTAGGGAAACCTTGCCGGAGTGTGCCTTTAGTTTGGGTGTTCCGCCCGAGTTGACCGGAGAAGGTGACCGAGGTCCCCTTAACTGATCGGCGGAACTGCCAACTCCCCCAGCCGACTGTGGCTGAGGGTGCCGGACGAGAGACTGCTGCCGCGGTAACGACGGAGCGTTAACGGCAGAGTCCCCCGAGAACTCGGTCCGTCCCGTGGGAGAACTATTCCCTCCGGTTAGTGACAGATCGGCCCTCCCCAAACGCTTCATATTTATGAAATAAACGAAACCAAGAAGATGATGAAACTCTACAAACTAATGATTACTAACTCTTTTATTAAATACTTCTCTTAAACGCAAAAAAGGGTAGTAAATGACGAGGCAAACAGCGAGCTATTTCACGCACGTCCTACCCGACCTGCCGCTAAGAGAAAAGAGGACGCTCACGAGGCACGCATGACGCGGGGTGTTATGGGTAGGGCGCCGGAGGGCGCTATTGTATATAACTCTTAGCGAAAATACCTGCCGGTAGGGGGAATATGCATAAGTAGTGTTGCTCTACAGGTAAGTAGAGTGAAGTAGACTTGAATAATTTATATAAAATCACATGATGACATCATCGTGACGTCATCGTGACGTCACTAAATTTTTTTGTCTATAACACGTCTCGGGACACCTGCATACCAAGTCTGAACCCAATCGGACTTCCAGTTCTGTACATATAGGGCCTTAAAATATGCACTTTTAGGATGACTTCACGTGGCACGTGATGACGTCATCAGGACGTCATGATTCGGCCTGAATCTTCAGATGGTGGTCCAAGTGTGTGCCAGGTTTAAAGTCGATCGGATTGTATTTTTATGTAATTTACAACTTAATACCCGCTTAATAAATAATATGTTCAAGACTGGATGGAATCTGGATGTTGATAATGACCAGAGTCAAACCCTTATTGACCATCAGAGGGGAATCAATATTACCAAAACACTCTGGTTCAAACAAATGACACACACAAAACAAGTACCTGGTACTAGTCTGGTGGCATACGGTCGGAATCGTCACCGACTGGTCCAAAGCACCATACCTGCCAGATAGATTCTTAAAGCCCTAGAGAAAATATTTAGAAGGAGTGACACCTGAAATTATTTTAGAAAGGGTGCCTAATTTGCATAAAGCGTTAGTACCTGCCATGTAATATATTTATTCCCATATTTGGGTAGATGTTTATTTTTTTATTTTTTGAAAAGTATATTTTTGGGATTTTACTTACATATCCTTACTTAAATAACATTTTCTAAAGCATATCGGAGACTTGAAGATTATAAGGACATAATAAAGATCCTAAATGGCTACCATTATACCCTAAAGTTGCGCACATTTCCTTTTTCCTCAGATATCGTCAGGTAGTCTTGCCAAACCTCAGTATTTATGAGCTTCAAATTCATAAAATAACTTACTGGCAGAGTTATATCCTAACCAAAATAAATGGGAAATCATGTAAAAAAATTGCATTATCTTGATATTTAGCCCACAAAAACAAAAAAGGGCGGGGGGGAATGAGGTGTCTGTAAATTGCGCTAAAAATTAGGCGAAGGGTTGCCTAACATGGGGACTTGATCAAGTGCAAGGATGAATTCCCCAACATAAGAATTATTGGGTTTTTTTAAATACTGATGTCCATGTCCAAACGTTTTCTTACCAATCATTTTGAAAATTTCCTTGTTTAGGCAATTCCTCACCTACTTTTTAGCCAAATTTACGGACACCTCGTTTTTCCCCGTTTTGTTTTCTGGGCTAAATATAACAATGTTATCATTGATCACATGATTTTCCACGAAGTTTTAATCGAGTTAACTGTGCCAGTAAGCAACTTAGTGAAGTTGAAGCTCATCAATACTAAGGTTTGACAAGACTACTTGATGATATCTGGAGACAAGGTTAATGAATATATTATACAACAGGGATTAAGGATTTATGCAAATAAGGCACCCTTCCCAAAAGAATTTCAGGTGTCATTCTTTTTAAATACCTTCTCTAAGGCTACAACAATCTATCTGTCAAGTTTGGTGCTTTGGACCAGTCGGTCACGATCTTGCCAAAAAATGGCTCTAAGCCACCTGACTATTCCTCAATAGAACTGGTACCTGTCATTGTAAGTCAACTTTTCTGCTTACTTTAAGCCAACAACAAATTGCCTAAGCACAGTAACGGATCTAGAATGGGGGGGGGGGTCTCAACCCCGTTCAGCTGCTGACTAATGTTATGATACTAGTAAAATAGGCCAAAAATTATATATGGAATGCTAAAGTTTCCAACTTGCCTTGGAATGCAGGAGAAAGCATTGTAGATTTGAAAATATTTCCCGAGGCAAGGCCTTCACTCAAAACCTCTTCCCCTCTCATTTATATCCCCCCTCCCCCCATTTCCTGAAAACTACATCTGCCGCTGAAGCATGAACACATTTCACAAAGGGTTAATTAGTTGTACAGAAATTGCAAGAGTATCTTTACAAACAGAATTTGATTGTGAAAAGTGAAGAAAATGGCAAAGAAACCAAAAGTGAAGCTGAGGATGGACAGACTTCTGTCTATACGATAATTTTATTAATTTATTATGACTGTCATCTCCCATGAAGGATTGCTGTCCTTTTGACTGGATTAAAACTTGTGAAAGAAACAACTACTTGTTGCTTGTCATCAATTTTACCCATTCCTCTCTGTAACACCCGAAACCACCATGCTTCTAACTCCCTAAAGTACCCTAAGCACCTACTGATTATGTACTGATCGGGGAATACGTACAGTGTCAAACAATGTAGTATAGTTGCTTATAGTTTAGGCACAAACTGTTCTGATTGGGCCCATGCAGTTGGCACAAGTACTGCTACAATAGGTTTACAGGTGCTGTAACCTCACCAGATGTCTCCCAAAGTGAAGCACATAAACGCCTTGCATGAGCTGTAACATACTGTATAGGAACCACTGATAGGTGAATGCATAAAAGTTCACAGCATCGAACAAAGCCAGGTGGAATACCAGGAAAACAGCGATGCACCAAGTCCCTAAATAAATAGAACAAAAAAAAAAATTGTTACTCATATGAAACCTAACATTGGTGTAGCCAGCTGAAGGGGGGGGGGATGTATTTGCCCCCTCCCCCCCACAATATTTGTAAGGAGTGCCCTTTTTTCATGAGTGCCCTGGTGAAGAAAAAGCACTCGTGAAAAAAAGGGCACTCGTGAAAAAAAGGCACTCGCGAAAAAAGGGCGCCTTTTTTTCTTGAGCGCCCTTTTCCACAAGCCCCTTTTTTCACGAGTGCCCTTTTTTTTTTTAACATGGTGCGAATGTGGACATTTGTGCCGCCATAAAAAACGCCACCTTTTATCTGCCACCTATTGCCCAATGGTGTTATGTATAGCCAGCCCCCACCCCCTTTTTGATTTTATGGAGGCCAGGTGACCGGTGAAAAACCATCTTTCTTTGAGCACGGATGAGGCGATTGCCCGTTTTCACCCTGAATCAAAAACAACCTTGTTACGCCACTGCATAATAATAATAACAAGATCCATGTCTGTTCTACGAACAGAGTATAGGACTTTCCGCATTATGGTTTTGTTATGAGCTTATGTTTTTTTCAAGGGTCACAAGTCCCTTGGGGATTTGGACAGCGGACTCTGCTTTTCCGTTGGATTTGGAGTGGTAGGGGCTTGAGGTAGTGTGTTCAAAGTCCCACTCATTCGTGAATTGGGTGAACTCGCATGACACTTAGTTTGGTCCCTTGTCTGTGATCAAGGTGTGAGGAATGCCATGGGTGGCAAACACTGGCTTCAGTTCCTTGATCATTGATTTGGAAGTCATGTCTTCCAGGGTGCGTATGTCAATGTAGTCTGAGTAAAGGTCTATAAGTACGCAGTAGTTTTGTCCATTGACCTCAAAACAGTCACTCGCGACTAACTGCCACGGTGTTTGGGGTACTGGGTGCGTCATGAGGGGTTCCTTGGGGAGAGCTGGTTGTGACTCCTGGCAGATTGTGCAGCGTTGGACTGCCTCCACCAGTTCTGTGTGCATACGTGGCCAGTACATTATGTCTCGTACAGTGTTGTTGGTGTACTGCATGCCCATGTGAGATGCGTGTGCCCTTGCTGTCATGTCTGCATGAAGAGCTGTTGGGATTACAATACGCTTTCCACGAAAGATGAGTCCGTTTTGTGTTGACAGCTCATATCTGTATGGAAAGTATTCCCTGATACACAAGGGAACTTGAGCCTTGTCCCCTGGCCAGCCTGCTTGGATGACCTGCATCAGTGTTGTAGGGTTTGGTCAGCGAGCATTTTGATTCTCTGCAGACGCTCGTCTGTGACGAAGATGGTTGGTTCGATGTTCTCAAACTCCATGTTGAGCTTCTGCTCCAGAGTGACGGAGAAGATCAGATAGTCTGGTGTCTGATCTGTGACTTGTCGTGTTGGCGACGATGCTCGCGACAGTGTATTGCTCAAGTACATTCGTGAACCCTGCTTGTGCTCTATGCATAGTGAGTGCTTCTGTAGGCGAAGTCGCATATGTTGTAGACGCTTGGGGCTCACCAAGGTTGGCTTTCTGAAGATGTTCATCAGAGGTTTGTGGTTGGTAAGCACGAGCACTTTGTCGAGGCCTAGGACGTATTGCTCGAAGCGCTGTGTGGCAAATACAGTTGCCAAACACTCTTTTTCTATCTGAGCGTAGTTGCGTTCTTTGCTGATAGTGCTCGTGAGGCGTACGCGACTGGGCAGCCATTTTGTGTGATGACGGCTCCTGGCCCAACTTCAGAGCTATCACACTCGATCGCGACGTCTTGGTTGACATCACAGTAGCTCAGTAGTGGTGCTTTAGTGATGAGCTCCTTGATCTTGTCCAGGGATTCGTCATGATGTGTCAACCAGTCAAATATGACGTCTTTGTCGGTGAGACGTCTGAGTGGCTCTCATACTGTGCTCAGTTCTGGCAAGAATTTAGCCAGATAGGTCACCACTTCGATGAGTCTCAGCACTCCCTGGACGTCGTGGGGCAAAGCATGTCGAGTATAGCCTTGATTTTCTCCGGATCTGGAGATAGTCCATTTGAGCTGAAGACGTGTCCCATGTATGTGACACTGGGTAGCTTGTACCGTAGCTTGGCTGCGTTAAGCTTCAGATTCCGCTCTCTGCATCTCGAAAGAAGAGCGGTGAATGCGGCGTCGTGTGAGGCTTCTGCTTCAGCCTGTGTTTCTCCTGAGCCGTAGACTAGGATGTCATCTGCAATCACTGCGATGTTTTCCAGGCCTTCCAGGCACTCATGGAGCCTGCGCTGGAATTCTTCCGATGCTGATGACATACCAAAGGGCATCCTCAACCAGCGGTAATGCCCGTAAGGCGTCCAAAATGTTGTCAGATAACTGGAGGGCTCATCAAGGACGACTTGAAGAAAGCCGTCCTTGGCATCTACCACCGAGAAGAGCTTGGCGTTCTTCAGTCTCGGGGCTACTTCATCTACGGTGGGAATTGGGTAATGGTTGCGTTTGATAGCCTTGTTCAGGCCGTGTGGATCCAAGCATACCCTGATTTTGTTTGGCTTTCTGACGACTACCGTGTTGTGGATCCACTTGGTAGGCTCAGTCACCCAGGCAATGGTGCCTTGGGCTGTCATGCTGTCTAGCTTTCGTTTCAGCTCTGCCCGCACCGGGATGGGCACTCTGCGCCTAGTGTTCTGCGTTGGAGTGACACTGTGATCAATGTCTATGTGGTAGTGACCTGGTAGCCGACCAAGGCCAGTGAATACGTCTTTGTACTCACTGAGGACCTGTGCCTTGGTTAGAGTCGATGACTCTGTCACTGCATGCACTAAGCACTCCTGTGTGAACTGCATTTGTCCCAGAGCTTCTGCTGCTTTACCTGACAGCAGAGATGAGGTGGCATCCTCCAAGATCTCGAAGTGGATTTTCCTGGTGACCCCTTTGATCTGGCATCTCAAGCTGGCAGCTCCAACGGGATGAATGATTGTGTCATTGTACAGTTTCAGTTTAGTCTTTGATGGCACCGGAGGCATGTCACTGAGCTGCTTGTAGTCTGCCAGCTTCATGGTGCTGCAAGTTGCACCAGAGTCTAGCTGAAATCTGATGGTCTTTGTCAGATCCCTTGTTGGCGTCTCCACTGCTAGCTCAAAAAAGTATTGCTGCTTGGGCTTTGACTGCACTGTATAGATGCTTTTGTCACTGTCGCTTTCGTCTCCATCCATTTGGTGGAGCTTCTGTGTGGAATTCTGTGGCTGACATTTGGTGCGGTCTTTGCCCAATGACTGGCAAACCTGTGCATAGTGGTTCCGTTTTTGGCTCTTAGAGCAAGTTGTCCCGTAGGCTGGGCACTTGCCTTTGCTGTGTGATTTGCCACAGTACTTGCAGTTGATGTTCAGAGGCTTGCTGGCTTTTCCAGACTTTTGTGTCCGCTGCTTGCTTTTCACAAAGTGAGCTGTTTCTGCCTCTCCCGGATCCATCTGCTGAAGGTGGATCGCTGCCTGTTCACTGCTGCAGCGTATGTCTATGGCTTTCTGCAATGTCAGTGATGACTCACGCAGCAGACGAGCACAGATGCTGTTGCCTACTACTCCTATGACCAGCCTGTCTCGGATCATTTAATCAAGAAGTGCTCCATAATTGCATGTGGTTGCCAACTTTCTCAGCCTGTTCAAAAAAGTGTCAATGTTCTCTTTGGGCTCTTGCTTACAGGAGTTGAAAATGAATCGTTTGTACACCACATTGCCTTTAGGGTCAAAATGTGCTCCAACGCTGGTTAGGATTTGTTGTGGTGACGTTCTCTGTTCGTCTGTTAGTGGCAGATTTTGGTACACTTCATAGCACTCCTTCCCCATAACTGTGAGTTATGTAGCCACATGGATGGAAGTATCTTTCTTATCCAGTTCCGTGGCCACTAGATAGTTCTGCCAACTTGCCGTAAAAAATTGCCAGTGGGAGACGTGGTCTTCTTTCATGTCCAATTTGGATGGTGGGGGAATGAGCGAGTGCGCCATGGTTAACATGCAGTGCGTGCGTAATGTACACCGCGATGTGTCCATTACAGGCCTCCGTAGTTCACAGCGAAACGCACGTTGACGACAATGGCATGAACTCAATGTGCAATGTATACATACATGTACTGTACATGTAAAGTATATTGTTCACAGCGTAATATGCACGTGGTCAATGGCGGAAACTCAGCGTGAAAATGTACAGTTTTATCATTCGCTGACACAGCCTAACATGTGTGACAGGATCAGTCTGTACTGCCGACGGATGCCTGGTGATCCGTTCTTCAAGATTGCCGAAAATTTTTCCGGTTCTTTGCGGTAATGGCGCTGGATTCAGCTAATCACACTGTTATTCACTAATTAGTATGTTTCCTAAACATTTGTATCTTTTTAATTTTCTTTTAAGGTGTATTCCCACCAACATTTTTGTAGCCTTGCATTTTTGGATTCCATTTCTAGATCAGAATTTTCAATGTGTTTGATATATTGATATAATAAAAAATGCAATATTCTGATAAACAGAGCCTAATTTTAACTGTACTTTCTTGCAAGTTAGCCTTCTAAATGTAGACTGTATTTTACTTGTCTACATATCAGCAATTATTTGCCAACGGAAAAAAAAAATGCAAAAATTACTGGATCTGCTCCTGCTGAGGGCTTGGATTTCAACAATAATTTCTTGGAGAAGTTTCCTTCAGGGTGTTTGTTACAATGCGGTACACCCGGTCCTTGAGGAGTCCCTAAAGAACAAAAATCGAAGGGGTAAGATCTGGTGATCTTGGGCCCCTTGTCCAGGTTCTTGCTTGCGCCATTTTGTCCATATTTTACAATGTATCTGCACTGTCCGAGCATTAGGTTGCTGTACCTCCGGAAAATGATCTCCAAGTTGACCTATGATGTCTTGTACACTACCTGTTTTATAAAACGTTCTGACCATAAAAGCCTTTTGGACAGCAGTAAACTGTGGCCTTGCCATGGCCACTTTGAAATGTTCTGTCTTGCAGTGTACTAGCCATTGAATAACGTCAACTATTCCTTAGTATAACAATACATTGTGTTGGTAGTGTTTTTGGGTAGTCACAAAGAAAGGCCTGTATCCTTTGCATGCATGGATGAATATCAGTGAAACTTGTACTGAATGTGGTCAATACCCAGACCAAATGTTGGCTGAAGAGAAAACACTGGTAACCTTTCCCATTTTTGTGGGAGACAAGGGCTTATGCAAAAAGACTTACTCATCCTGTAGAAATAAGTGTCTCTTTTCAAAGAATAAGAAAAAGACGAACAAGAAATGTTATTCAGAGGAATGTCTTCGAGCAAATGTGAAACTGAGATCTCAAGGAACATCAGGTTTACTGAATGAACAGAGATTTGTGACAGCAAGACAGTTCCAGGGCTCCCTACACATAAACAAGTTGTCTTCCATGATTTCTGTATTCACATGGAGAATTAAAAGATATGCTTGGCATACCATCCAACAATGTTGTTATGGCCTTTGATTCAGCAGCGGCTAAACGCTTTTCAAACTGGGTGGGGGAGGGGGCATCACCAAAAAGGGGCACTTGCTCAGAAAAAAAGGCACCTTCTGTCGTGTGAAGGAGGAGAACATTTTGAAACTATTTTCATTAACATTGCAATGAATACATGTTACCCGGGAACAATATTTTCAAAACATTGATTTACACTTTTAAAAAAATATGCGTTAAAAAATTCAAAAATCTTAATTCCCTTATTCAAAACATTACAGTGTAAGCCTATTCCTGAATTAGTTTCAATATAGCTGTATTGTTCTCAAATAAGGTAATTTTTTATTTGAGAGAGGCCTTCAGCCTTCGGCACATCACCTTGGCAGGAACCTCTCTGGGTCTGCCCTTGAATTTGACTAGTTGGCCCTATGCAAAGGGACCATTTTTTTTTTATCGTGAGAGGGGCACTGTTGCCTTGATGTCCAGTTTAGGACCATTTTATTTGCGTGAGGAGTGCTATTAGTTTTTTTTTCACAGGCCCATTTTCTATCTGGAGAGGGGCACAGCTTTAATGTTGCAAACAGGGCACTAATTGTGCTTTCGAGGGGCACTTTTTCATCTCAATAATCTATCGCGAAAGGAGCACTATTGTTTTTGATGGCCAATTTCCAATCTCGAGAGGGGCACAATTTTATAATTGCGAGAGAGGTATTTGTGCTTTCAAGGGATAGTTTTCCATCTCGAGAAGGTTCACAATCTTGTTAATATGCGAGGGGTATTTGTGTTTTTGAGGTGCACTTTTGCATTACAAGACAGGAGACAATTTGTAAGCATTATCCTGATGCTTTCATGTGTACGTTTGAGGGGCAGTTTTGTTTTCATCTCGAGGGGGTCACATTTATGACCATGCCAGGGGCACTTTTGTTGGCCTGGGAAAATCAGGGGGGGGGGAGTGCCCAGTTGTGCCACCCCTGCTTTGATGATAGTTTTAAAACTCACAAGTTATGCTCCTTTTGTGATGTATGTATTTTTGTCCAAGTTGTCATGCTGGCAATTTACTTACTTGAAAAAGGTCCCAGTCAGAATACCAGGAATATCTGTGTGTTCCATTTTGATTTGCCGCTGAGCTGCAACTAGTTTACCCTGCAAGAGACAAAAATTGTTTAGTTAGTTTGTGAGTCATCCGCATCAGAGTTTAAAAAACTGTATATAGAGACATACCTGTATGTGGCTAGTGTTTTTTTCAAAGGCTTTTCTGTGGTTTTAAGTGGGCACACTTTCGCTTCAAAGATCATAAAAATGTAAAATGCCAGTAAGTTAACATTATACGTGTAATGGTACCATTAAGGAGACATGTTATCGTAATGTTTTCGCACGACGGGAGACATTGTCATGTCTCGCTAATGTCACAGCCCCCCTTTAGAGGCACAATTTTATCGTCGCAGTTAGGTTGTATTTGTTGCTTGTGGTCTAATTAGTAAACATATCGAAATTCGTGGAAAAAAGACAAGGGAATATTGGGTTAGGGCACATTTAACTTTTAAAAATGTTGCAAAAGTCTATGGAGATGTCTTCCAAATGTCCAATCCCCAGGGTGATTATTAATATTATCATTATTATTATTATTATTATTATATCAGTTGTTTCATTTTAAATTAATAGTTTGAAACAGAGTTCAAATGAAAAAAGAAATGAGTATAATTTTGTGATACACATTTCTACACAAGCTTAAATGAGAACACTGCCTAATAACGGGATAATCTATCAGTGGTACAAATGTATGGTTTGACAAACTGATGTTTCTTTTATGACTTAAACTTGTAAATACTGCAAATGAAAAAAGTTGTACTTTAAATTACAGTGTATATATAATAGTTTTGTGTTAATAAACCAATTTTTTTTCATTTGTTGTAATAATTTTGTCGTTAACAATCTAATCTTTTCTGTCACAGTATCAAAGGGTTAACCATGACAGTCTAAAATTACTCCAATGTATTGGAGGAATGCCAAAAATATATACCATTATGCAAGTAGTTGCGTTCTGAGAATGTATTTGAAGTTTATTTCTGAGCATGTCTTTTCTTGAAATGCACAGAAAGTCTACTTTAGCAGGCAAGATAGTCCTGACAGAAAAAAAAACAGTAGCCCAGGCTTGCTGAAATAGATCAATATTAATCTGATTGAGTTGGAACTGGACAAAGCCATTTCACAACATTGCTCACAAAAATGCAAAAGAAAAAAACAACAGTTGAACACACAGATGGGGACACACAGACTTAGATATCAACATGGCATGAATGTGTGGTGTTCAAGAATCCTTTGTGTCAATGCAGATTGATTTGATGATTCATTTCAATGATAAGCAATTTAACTCATAGTTTAGTAAGCCACTCTTGCACAGTGCCCTCAGCCTTCCACATTCTTCGAGCTCTTGGCCTCCCACAAGCACGATCTGCATGGCCCAACTAAATCCCTGAAAATCTTTTTATGAAAACAGTTGGTAGAAATGGCAGCTTCACATAGACATCAAGCCCTTGCACAAACTGCCAAGTGGTGGTAGCTTGTAAATGCCACTTCTTTGGCAGCAAAATCTATTGCCTCAGTACCATGTCCATACTTCCATGTTCTTACTTTGTGACTTTCAATTTTCCGTCATTGCCTCTCCTTCCCCTCCCCCAACATTGGGATTATGTACAATATAATGCACTCGAATGACATGCACAAGATGACACTTTCAATACACTCAGTTTTGGGTCTTGGTACATATAAACATGTATATTATGCATAGTATCACCAATGCTAATGTGCACAGGAGATATTTTCAGAACTTTTTGGGCTGAGTGTCAAGATCATAAGACTACATTTAATTGAAATAATGCCCTCTAACGTTGCTGCAGCTTGGCTACACTTTCCAGGGAGCACCTGCATTGCATTTGGTCTAACTTAATTAAAATGCAGTCTTTGAAAAAGAGTAGAAACTAGAAACCACAAAGCTTATAACTCAGTGTCTTGCTACATCTTCCAAAGAAATAACTCACCCAGGGTCGGAATAGAATAGAAAAAAATCTCAGAACATTCGTAGAAGCATGGAAATCTCTAACAACTGTTTGAGCATTTATATGAGTGAAGCTTGCTTCTTTGGAATATACATCTAAACCCCAAATACCAAACAGATCTTGAAAGACTTACTGTGACATCTTCAAAGTAGAGGTAATATGAGAAGTAGAAATCCCCTTGTCTGACTGCTGCTGTGTAATTGCCTTGCATTAAATATTCATGCATCATTGGAACTATGCTCCAGACCTTAAATAAAAACAAATGAGCCAATCATCAATACTGTTAAAAAATAAGAAAAGGGATGATTTTCTAAATTTTAAGCATGTCATTGGGTAATTGGGATCAATGGGTCCAAATTAATCCTGTGTCTTCCTTCCATCTTTGTCTTTCTTTGGTACAACCCGATCACCGTTTAATATGGTTAATCTATATTTCTGCCTCCTCTTTTTTTTTTCGGACAATAATTTTCAACGGGTTTTCTCCTAAACAGTTTATGGTATAACTTTGAACATATATCAACCCTGATCTAGAGTGGTGCATATTATTCTGACGTCATGATGATGTCATCAGGTGTCAAATTACAATTGATTTTTGTTTAAACTATGACAATTTTCTGTCATTTATAACTCATTTACTTTGTGATCTGATAGACAATACCTTGATGAGCATTTTTGTTTACCGAAATCAAAGTCATCTGACCTTTCCTTCCAAGGTTATCAGAAGGTCAAGGTTAGGTGAATTGAAAATATAGAGAATGAGACTCCATATCACAACCAACGAAGATTTCTTCCAAACTTTTGACATGGTGATGATAAAAAAAAAGAATGCTATGTAAGTTGTGCAAAAATGTTCATTCTGTGAATAAGGGCTGATGTGGTTGGGAATTGGGAATGCTCTTGAGCATTAAACTGAGGTATTGTCGTGATGACTTATAGCCAAGCCAATGATTCCAATCCCAACTGCAGCCCTTTTCTCCAAATGAAGGATTTTACACAGCTTTAGCACAGCATCATAATTGACAGTGTTGTTGTACTCGTACTCGAGTACTACTCAAGCACTTTTTTGGGAGTACTCGTACTCGAACTCGAATGTCAAAGTACTCGTACTCGAAATGACAGTTCTCGTACTCGGGCAGCAAAGTACTCGTACTCAACATGTCGAAATTGTACTCGATCATTAAAGTACTCGTACTCGAATAGCAGTACTCGGCCGGGGAAAATGTTACAGCATCACTTACCATGGCCTTATTTTATCAATACTTTCAGTTTGAAATGGTTGATTGGCTTGTGGAGAAATCAAGATTTCCTGGTTTTCCTCTGTGCAAGTCCGGACAAACACATTTAACAGCTAGCTGTGAGTGGGTCAGTACCGTATATCGGTCTGACTGGGCCTTGGCCAATTACGCACAATGAACTATTTGCCGTATGGCCATATTCGGAAATGCGAGTGCGAGTACTCGTACTCGTACGTACAAGTACTCGTACTCGGAAGTACAAGTACTCGTGCTCGGAGACCTGTTCTTGTACTCGGAGGTACAAGTACTTGTACTCGTACTTGGCAACCTAAGTACTCGGTACGCGGAAAAAAGTACTCGACTACAACACTAATAATTGATTAAGGCCAGGAACTTGGTCACATGTCCAAAAATGTTGTTGTGATTAATTGACCCTTGTGCACTGGAGAAAAATGAAACAAAACTCATAGGTTGTTTTTTTTTTTTACGGGGGACATACTGTATATGTTTTGAACTAAATATTTTGAGTATCGTGTTCATTTTTCGTGATGTGATATAGATGGTGGTTTGCACAACATTTCTTAATTTTGGGCACAAAACCACTTGAACTTCACTTCTGGTGTTACTGGAAGTGCAGTGTAAATTGAATATTACCGGAAAATGTAAGCATTTTGCTACAGACAGACAAATAATGGAAGTATTCAGGGAAAAGTGCCAGACACATTAAAAAAAAATTCGAAAAATTTTGGTCAACAGTTTACCAAATTGCCCCTGGATGTTCTTTGATCAACCGCAAGTGACTAAGCAAGGTTTCGGAATCATGACGTCATCACACCATAAGTTATTGTACAGAGAATTTAAAAATGATCAGTTTTTCCTTTTTGTTCCTAAAATTCAAAGCCGTCATTTGATCCGTGTCTAATGACTATGTTCGTAGTTCAAATAAGATACAATGTTGATGTCGGGCTTCAAAACACTGTAATGTCATTTCAAACCGGAAGTTACATGTACTTGTTGGTGTTGTTAATACATACACTTAAACAACCATATTATTTCTGTATTTTCAGAAGTTTGTTTCACCTCATGATGAACATGTATCCTTACCTCTCTCACGAATGTTTATGTGCCGTTCAACCAATGCTACATCTCGGAAGTAGGTAGCAGGAGAAAAATACGTATCAGGTCTTTTACAAACATAATTTCCAAAAACATTCTGGTAACTGGATCCTTTAACCAACCTAAACTGAAATCAATGAAAGCCGGCCCTCTTACAACAAACCATAACAGCTAGCTGCCGCACGGCTTGAATCAGGCAAGTGCTGGCCCATAACCATGGGCGTCGCCAGGATTTTTTCTAGAGGGGGGCAAAAATTTTTTTTGCCAAAAAATGCTTGTATTTCTCAACACATTCTCGATTTATCAGTTTTAAAGGGGGGGCAGGAACATTTTGCCCCCCCTCCCCAACTCATTAAATTTACACCACTTTGTCTTCGCGCCTCTTTTTCTTTTCTTTTCTTTTCTTTTTTTTTTCTTCCTTTTTTTTTTTTTTTTTTTTTGGCTTTTCCAGGGGGGGGCAAGTGCCCCCCCTTGCCCCCCCCTCGCGACGCCCATGCCCATAACAGCAAGATGGTACAGAGTCTGAATCGGGCAAGTGCCTGTCCTCTTATAACATACAATAACGGCTAGACCCTACATGGCCTAAATCAGGCCAGTGCCAGCTCTCTTACGACAAACCATAACGGCAAGACAGTACAGAGTCTGAATCGGGACAGTGCCAGTCCTCTTACAACAAACCATATAACAGCTGGACAACACACAGCCTGAATAGGGCCAGTGTCAGCCCTCTTACGACTTACGATAACAGCAAGATGGTACAGAGCCTGAATCTGGCCAGTGCCAGCCCTCTTACGACAAACCATAACAGCAAGACGGTACAGAGTCTGTATCAAGCGAATGCAAGCCCTCTACAACAAACCATTACGACAAGACGGTACAGAGCCTAAATAGGGTCGGTACCATCCCTCTCGCGAGAAACCATAACTGCAAGATGGTACAGAGTCTAAATCAGGCCAGTGCCAGCCCTTTTATGACAAACCATAATGACAAGAAGGTACAGAGCCTAAATCCAGCCAGTGTCAGCCCTCTTACAACAAACCATAAGGGCAAGACAGAACAGTATCTGAATTGGGCCAGTGCAAGCCCTCTTATGACAAACCATAACGGCAAGACGGTACAGAGTCTGTATCAGGCCAATGCAGGCCGTCTACAACAAACCATTACGACAAGACGGTACAGAGCCTGAATCCGGCCAGTGCCAGCCCGCTTACAACAAACCATAACGGCTAGATGCCACACGGCCTGAATCCGGCCAGTGCCAGCCCGCTTACAACAAACCATAACGGCTAGATGCCACACGGCCTGAATCCGGCCAGTGCCAGCCCGCTTACAACAAACCATAACGGCTAGATGCCACACGGCCTGAATCCGGCCAGTGCCAGCCCGCTTACAACAAACCATAACGGCTAGATGCCACACGGCCTGAATCCGGCCAGTGCCAGCCCGCTTACAACAAACCATAACGGCTAGATGCCACACGGCCTGAATCCGGCCAGTGCCAGCCCAGAACGGCGAGACGGTACAGAGTCTGAATCAGGCCAGTGCCAGTCCTCTTACAACAAACCATAACGGTTGGACAACACACGGCCTGAATCGGGCCAGTGCCAGCCCTCTTACGACTAACCATGACAGCAAGATGGTACAGAGCCTCATTCTGGCCAATGCCGACATTTGTTTGAATTGGAAGTGACTTTCCACAAAATTTTCTCGGATGAGAGGAATTACTTTTTTTGAGAAAACCAATAAATTTTGTCCAAAACATTTTGTTTTCAAACATGTCATAAAAGCAATTTGAATTGCTTCCTTTTCGAAGATCAAATAAGAAGAGCTACACAAACATCATGTTGTTCCAGAATATTTAATTTCTTGTAAAATATGTTACTAATTTCAGTCAAATTCATTGAAATGTATCAACAGAAATGATGCAAAAAATTACCATCAAAGCACGCAAAAACAGACACTTCCATTGCTATGCTATTGTTAAGCACAAATCTCACATGTACGCACTTTGGTAATGAACACCATGAACAAACATACACTGAACTCAGTATTCAGTTTACATTACTATACCTCATACATATTCATGATCGAGAGCCGAACTCTCACTGGTCAATTCACCATCACGTGCCAGATGTTATTCTTGCTGTTCACCAAACGCGCGCGCGAGGATTCACGCACATTGTAAATACGCATGCGTAGTAGACTGTCGCATGGGTTACCCGTGCGACAGTCTACTACGCATGCGCTTTACAGAGCAATCGAGGAACTGTCGCACGGGTGCAGTACGCACGGGCGAACATCGCACAGGAGAGATGCATGGTTGCACGGTTCGCGTAAATGTTTATTTCCAGAGCTCAATGATGCCATACTGGAGAAAATTTATAGACCCGTGTAAAGATGTCTCCTGTACAAAAGTTGTACACATTGCAAACAACTCTATTTACAACTGTAGTAACTGTATTATATTGCAAACGAACCGAACTAGTAATTCAAGTTGAGCAACAATATTCTTTTGGTGAGCTGTACAAGTTTCCCCGAATTTTGTTTTAGGTGCATATAATAAAAAAAAAATCAGCAACTGAATATGTATGAGGTATAGTAAAACAAATATAACATGGTTTATTTCGGGTGGACAGTCGATATTAGCTCCCCTCGGTATTGGAAGTTGACAAACTAGTTCCCTCGGCTTCGCCTTGGGAACTAGTTTGTCAACTTCCAATACCTCGGGGAGCCAATATCGACTGTCCACCCTCAAACCATGTTATATTTGTATACTATTTAACTGCTGACATCATCCAACGGGAATTGGAAATAGCGTACGTGTACATAACATATGTACATGTACATAACATGTACCACGCAGTTTTTTTTTTTTCCAATTAAAACGAATGGTTTTACGCTGAATTTCATGATCCTTTTCTGTTGTGACACAAAAATATTCACAACTGTATGGGCAATATTCCTGTGAAACACTCTTTGGCCCGATGAACTGAACAAAAGCGAACCTCTAGTTGAGTGGTTGGGCACAACCTGACCACTGTTTGAAATCATTCTGATAGATCTTTGTTTGTTTCTTCTTATTGTCTGGACAATATCTCTCCGCAAATTTTCTCCTGAACAGTAAATGGTATCAATCTAAGTACATTGCATAAATCGAGATGTGTACCTAGACCTTGATGTGTTATAGATGAAAATTGATGTAACATTATCATGACGTAATCACGTGACATGTTACGTCATAATTCAAAGCTCTATGAGAATGTAATTACCTATTATATGCCACCATTTATTATAAACAGAAGTGCAAATCCTTCCTTGATGAAACTTATACTTGAAATTTTACAGCAACATAATAATAAAAAAACAATATATAAAATATAAAAGAAAAACACAAGCCAAGGTGCCAAGGCAATCATTTAACACCAACTAATATTGTAACCTAAAATAGTGTGAGGTTGCTGTTTGTACTTTTTACAGAACAAGTGAGTGCAAAGCGCGATCGCGTGTTGCTATTGTTATTTTGAGCGGCCGATCATTGATCATCGACCATGCGTTGAATGCCTTGAACAAGGTTAATGAAATGATCTGATCACCCTGCGTTTACAATTTAACGCATATGTCTAGTTTGTTATTTAGTCTAGGTTATCTCAACTTGGTTTGATTCAGAGTGTGTGCTCATACAATGAATTTCAGGTTCCCTGCCCAAAGTGAAGAACTTGAATACTCAAACATACTTGGTACATTTTTTGTTGTTGGGGGGGGGGGGCAGGAGGGGAGGTAGACCTGACTCAAGTTGGAATTGCTTTAAGTCGGTATCTCAAAAAAGTAGCAAAAATCACTTAGTTTACGTCTTTCCAGATACTTCAGTGCGCGTTCCACTTCAGTGCCGTATGCGCACACACTGTATGTACATAACACGCGTATTACATGTACATGTGTGTGCATGTATTGCAGAGCATGTGCATACATGTGGTGCAAAAGTTAGCAATTCCTACTTGATCAATCTCCCATCAGCACCCCCCCTCGCGTGCACGCGCCTGTATTCATCGATGCATATGCAACACCATCTCTATGCATATGCAGCAACATCGCTTGACCAATCAAAGTAACCAGTTTTTGAAGACTCGTTTATTATTTTCAGTAGGTATGGAACGCTGGATAACAATCTGCAAAAGTTTAAAAAACATAATCTTAATCTATAGATTTCAAACACATTATATTTGGATGATAATGCTAAGATCAGCTGCTCTTGGATTGAATTTATAAAGAACACCACAGTCAAATGTTATTCAAAACAAAAGGGAATTTTCAGTGGGGTTAACCTGTAAAAGATGTTGAGAATCATCGATACCGCTTCGTGTGTACCCAGAGCCGTTTCAAAGCATTCGAACGTATGTGTGCGTGTATCTGTTTCTACTCCTCACCATGGGATGCGTGTGCGTTCTCCGCGAAACTTTGGCTGCGCGAATACATGCAGACAATGCTAATTGCATGTTAGGAATAATATCAAAACAACCTGCGCACGTTTTTAGGAATAAAAATGCTCATTACCTGAAATACTGTGATACGATTGGCTTCTACCGAAATCGGTAGAAGCCAATCACAGCGAAAATTAATTTCCATAGACTGTGCACAAACGTGGAACAAACCAGCGCGTACGCTTGGCAGATTGACCAAGTCTGGGTTGCTGCATCACTTGAAAATAACATGTGCATGTACGTTTTTAACATGATGGTCCGGATTCGACGCATGAGGGCGCGCATTATGTACTGTAAGGACATATGCGATATGCCCTGTGAGTTGATTTACTATAGGCACAGACTGAGCGCAACCCAGACTTGGCCAAGTCTAAAGGGGAGGGGGATGTGGGGTCACAATCAATTCAAGGGCGGATCCAGGGGGGGGGGGGGCCAAAGGGGGCCATGCCCCCCCCCCCCCCCCATAAACGAAACCAATTTTTTTTATTTTTTATAATAAAGGCAGGCAATGAGTACATCACCATCTTAACCTCGAAAAAAACATTGGTTAAAGTGGTCAGAAATTGCCTCAGATCGCACCACAGAGCATCTAGAATCCAAATTTTTTCGGGACCCTTAAGCGGGCCCCGAACCCCACGCCGTAATTGTTTTGACCCACTTTTTTGGGGGACCAAATTTTTTGGGGCCCCCCTCCCAAAATTGTGTTCTGGATCCGCCCTGGAATCAATTGAGCTTTAGAATCAGTTTAAGCAGCAGTTCAGGGGCTCTATGCCTGCTGCTTCCTTAGAATTGTGTCACTTACAAACCTTTTCTTTGACTAGAGCAGCAGGGTTTTGGCCTCTGTTTTCCTCATGTAGTGCATCTGATGCTCCTAAAGAAGGTGCTGTAATCTGATCTGTCTTCCTATCAACATGGATAAAATGCACAAGTCCTGGAAAATCCTCCAGATATGTGGTCATAGTAATGTTGCGCTGTGCCTTGATGGTCAAGTATTGCTGGTAATGAAACAAGCTTTCACGCAGTAAATACTGGGATTCTTTGATGGCTTCAGCATACTGCTTGGATACACTCTCTGGGCTTGACTTGACATTGAAGTAACGGGCCTTAAAGATGACCTTAAGTAATCGGTTCATCTCAGACAAAGCTGCTTCTAACCTGGGCATGAAATAAAAGGACAAGTGAGAGAAAAGTGTGAGTGACATTCATCCATGCTTAGAAAAAAGCATCAATTATCAACAATTCTGAAGACACAAACACCTTACCAAAAAGACGGATAGATTTAATTTGTTTATGAACTCTTCAAAATGTCTATCGTTGGGTCCAAACATGCACATGTTGGTAGAACAAACTAACCATTCGAACATTTACCTCTAATATCACATTCTTACATCGAATACTTTCAGATCAAAATATTCAAGGCAGAATGCAAAATGAATGTGTTTGAAGTTTGATTTCAGTTTGAGTTTTAGGCTAAGAAGTTTCAAATTTAGACATCCTGTTGAAATGGACGTTTTTCTACTTTAACTAAGCCCCTAGAATGTAAAAAAAAATTGCTTTAAAGAGATTGTACAGCATTTGCTTTTGCTGCAATTTTCTGACATAAATGGATTGTTAAAATGACTTGTTTCACATTTTGGGCTTGCAAAGAAAACGCGGAATAACTAATTATGAAAAAGCAGGAGCAGTTTTTGAAAAAATACTATTTTTCTTGAAAATGACAGCATACCAGGAGCCACTATTTTACAGGATGCTTTAGACTGTCTTCCCAAACAAACCAGTCAGGTATTTTGTGATAATTTGATCATTTAGTTTTGTGATGTTTGCAAATGTTGTATCTTCCCTTTAAACTTGGAGGATTCAGGACAGTGAGGATTAAATATTAACATTTTGCTACTACCAATTAAATGTTACTTATATAAATTTGCAGCAGTTTTATTTTGACTTGAAAGTTACATGCATGCAGAGTTCTCTTGAATTTAAAATACAATTTAATTACAGAGAAAATTATGTTGGCCTTTTTATTCATGCACAATACAAGTATATTGACAAGTGAAAAACAAATTACTAAAACTTGGCAATTAAAACTAACTCAACAGCCGATGTGCCCAGTCCAAGAGCAGACACTGGTAAGATTCTACCAATTTGGTTTTTATTATTAACTGGATGAGTTTCAACAAGGCAGTGGGAAGTTGAAGATCCCTTAATACTGCCATATTGGTTATGATCAATAGAGCAATAAGTGTCATCAAGTGCCCATTTCGCGACAAATCCTTCACAAACTTTTGCCAGAAGAGATGTCAATGAGATAGGTCTAAGTTTAGAAACTGTTGCAGGAGTTTCTTTTGGTATTGGGGTTATGTTAGCATCCTTCCATACTTGAGGATCCACACCTTCAGCAAGAGATGAGTTAAAAATATCAGTCACAGGTCGAATGACCTCACAAGCAAACTCCTTAATCAACCTTCCTGGGAGCCCATCAGGACCAGCTGCCTTTTTGACATTGAGCTTTCTCAAAGCATTGTACATCTCCCATACCTGGATTTATGGGGGCAGGTGAGCAGGTAAAAAAGCTGGCAGTTCTATGAGGTTGATTGGGGGTCAGCTTGTAGAGACAGAGACAAACTTTACATTGATAGCCTCTGCAGTTGCAGAAATATCATTTTGTTGGATGTGTAGCACCGAAATAATTGGACAATGTTGGCTCCTATTAGTTATCAACTGAATACCCTTATGCCAACCTGACAGATCACTTGATTTGAGGTTCTGAATGCCATCTCTGTAATACCATTTCTTAGCCTGGGATATTTTACGAATAGTCTTGTTACGCAAGAGCCGCCATAGCGCCAATTTCTTTTCTGCAAATGCAACCTGACGTTTCCTGATAAGGTTTTTAATTTCAGGAGTAACCCAAGGATTGTCCTCTGAATGGATCTTAGTCACCTTGGAAGGGAAATACAAGTCAACAGCTCCCGTGACCATAGCATAGAATGCATCAGCCTTATCAGTGGTACATGATACATTCAGAACCTCATCCCAAGAATGGTTAATAATCCATCTGCCAAATTCATAAAGCCTAGGTTAACAAATGGGGCAGAATTTTTTTCTGGATGTACCCTGCTTTCTGGAGTGCCATAATGGTTCTTAAGATTTGTTATGATTAAATCCAGAATGGCATCACTGCGAGTACGTTGATTAACTACTATATTAAATAATGGGCTCTACAAAGGGGATTAACATCAGTCCGATTAAAATCACCCTTGGTCTCGCGATATTGGTAGAATACACAGTGCACAGAACACTAGCCCAGACACACTGCAGGGTAGACGATGGGGGCAGACACGAAGCCATATACATTCGAGCTCATCTGGAACAGTGATATCAGGCAGGATACTGGCTGGGATGTTGTCTCTTACATACACAGCTACTCCACCTCCATGTCTTTCAGATCTAGTCTTGGTGAAGAGATTAAAACCATTCACAGCGAGACAATCAGTAGGCGTGTTGACTTGTTGCCCGGTTTCGGTGATGACTGCTATATCAACTGAGCAGTTATCAGACTGATTAAGCAGTATTTCCAGCTCATCAGATTTGTTCATGATTGATCGTGAATTTGTCAGGAAAAAAGCCTGACAGGAAGCTGGTTCTGGTGATTTCAATCGCTGTGGGTGTAAACGTTCACTCAGGGTGGGCGAGTACTTGGCAGGATCACAGGTTGCCAAGAAGTGCAGTCCGTTAAGCAGTGCAAAGAGGCTGCACGTTGGGATATTCTCACTGTGATTTTGTTACGAATGTGAGCACCTCCACGTCGTCCATGGTGTCAATGATATACACCAATTGATTTGAGAGTTGATGCAAGTTCTTGGAAAATCATAGTTTTCTCCCTTGATTCAACCGGAGAAGCTCCTGTCGACTGTACTTTTGGAAGGATTGATGTACAGATCAGTTGTCATGTGTCTGTGTGCCACACCAAGTGATGGAAGACGGTGGAGTTGAAGAAAACGGCCTTAATAAATGCCGGTTGGTGTTCCGTTTCATCCCAACACAGCCCACATTACGAACAGTGCCCTCATGCTGAGTTGGATCTGTATGCCATTTTGAATTATCGGTTCTTCCGGGGCCTGGGTTTGGGTTAACATCACCACAAATCAGTAAAAAAGGTATCCAGTTTGCTCAAAATTCTGTGACAGAATGACCAACACATACATCCCTCCTGAACTGGCATTGTTCCACTGTTGCATATCATTAGTGTTCCAAAACTCTTAGCTGTGATTGGTCCAATCGATAAATAACTAGAGGTCTATATCTGTTTGCAACAGAACATAGGCCTTTTCGGCATTAGGTTTTCTACTTGAGGTTATGTTTTCTGTTTTTAAAGGAAAATAAGTCTTTTCACTATAACTTCCGGTCAGAAGACATCATCATTTTTTTTCCCCCGTACAGATGTTGTCTGCATTGATGTCATCATATGCACCAATTTTGAAGTGATTACCGCAAACTTCGCCAAAAACATTTACTGAAAATTCATATGATTTTTTTTTAAACCTGCCGCTAGAGGGCGCTCTAACAAGTTATGACGTCACCAGTATTTTTGTGTGAAGTACAACCTAGCCACACACTAACAACGTTGCAAGCAAGTTCACATCTTTTTCCAATTTTAAATTATAAGGCATTTCGCTACTTTAGTTTGGACCGGAAGGAAGGGTCACGTGATTTTGTTCACACAAGATAAAATTAAGATCCTGGATTATTCTATCAATTCCCGCAAAAGTCAAGTTTGGGTCTCTCATGGCTGATTTTATACTGATTTTCAAAAATTAAATCTATTAATCTTTAACATGACGTCACGTGACCCATGATGATGTCATGATGACGTCATTCTTCGGGACACAACTAAAAGCATGAAAATTGGCACAGATGTAATATTCATGCGAGAAAATGTTTTAGATGTGGAGCCATCGCAAATTTACCCCTTTAGGGGCGTGGCAGCCATTTAAAAAAAGGGAGGGACTCATCATGCCTGCAATGAAAACGGTTGTTCCCACTTGTCACAAAAGCAGAAAACTTCACAAAGACATAATTTCATAGATTATAAAAGTTTTCCAGATGTGGCAGCCATTAAAAAACAAGAAAAGTAGTGTTAAAAAACACAAATGCCCCGTAACCATGCCTATCTCCATGACATAACACCACGCTATTAACATCAACTTACCTGGGTCACATGGAACGTTCATTGACATCGTTATTGTTTTCTTTAGGCTATATATGTAATGTACTGATGCCAATGATCCCATAATTAATTTTGGGTTTTTGCTTCTCTGTTGGGAAGTCATTGTATGTGATTTAAGCAAACTGACTGGATATTTTCAGTCTTAAGCAAGACATTTCTCAAAGGCAAATCCTTTGAGCATAATCCTTTGAGTATTTACAAGGCCTACATGGAAATAAGAATTTTTAAATAATCAAAAGAAAATATGGTTATTTGAATAAGCTCAAGTTATCATTATGACATCATTTCCTTGGTTTTAAATAATGAGAACAGTTGGCCTATGGGGTCCTAAAGTGACTCAAAATCCTAAGAACAACGTACAGAGCTGCATAAACATGTACATGTACATGAACTACGGTGCGAGTCTCAAGTTTTAGTAACTCATGTACACTTACATGTGTTTGTTTTCTGTTGTTTCAATTAAAAATATGACTTTCCAAGAAAAAAGGGTGGAGAAGCCACATTGTATATACAAAAAACATGTATAAACAGTGTACAGGCCCCCTAATATTCTAGTGAGTGATTACATTTGCACATGCACACTGGTTTGGTAAAAAAAACAAAAAAAACATTTAAATTGTTTTTTTTAATTCCTATTGTTTTAATCCTAATGACCTTGGCCTTTGTCTGATGGGGTCCAAACTTATAAGTTATACTAGCAAGCAACATTCATTGTATCAAGGATCAAGACATACATGGACATACAATCCAGATATCGCTGTGGAACCAAATGCACACGCACACACGCACCCAGTCATTTTTTGCTATGCTTCCGAGGATTGGCTTTGTGTTTTCCTTTGTTCCCTGATCTAAACCTTTCCCATAGACTAAGTGCACAAACCGGCATTTGAGGACAATAGGCACCGTCCTCCGAGGATGAAAGGCCCCT